GAATTATGTGGTGAATTATGCCTCATAATTGTCCTAGTTTGAAAGTGGTTTGCAATAGGCATAACTGGCGACACACTTGGCCTCCTAACTTGTTCATTATTTCATTTAATGTATTCAGTTGTTTAGCCATGTTGTCATAATACGCATTCCCACTTTGGGTAAATCTTTCCATATTATGAATATTTTGTAGATTTACCTGTTCAACGATATCCTGTGTGAGTTCCCCAAACAATGCACGCATGGTTTGAGGACTTAATTCTGTCATTGGTTTGTAACGACTGTGGCTGCTTTGACTCTGTCCCTCTGTTCGTGGAGAGTTTTTCTGCTCCTCATATCACTCGATTACAGACTGGACTACTCCTTGACTTGCTAGTTCCTTATCAGAATTTTTATGAGGCATAATGCTTCACTTTTTGTATCTTCAACACCAAATACCAATGTCCCACCGGGCGTGCCAAATTGTTTCGTTCGGATTATCGCTAACAATTAAAAGAGGGATCAGACGATTGTGTAAGGGACAAACCTCTTGAGACAAAGTCCCAAAAAGGGTGCTTTATTGATGAAAATTATAATTGGAAATAAACAGAATGCCTCGAAGAGGTGCAAGCACACGAGTACTGAAAAGGGATAAATAAAGTTAATCTAAGAAATTGAAATTACATATTCTATATTTGAGAGTGTTTGATTCGGGATCCTTTCCTCTATGTCTTTTCTTCCTTTTATATTTCCATGNGGGGTACTTTATTTATGAAGATTACAATTGGGAAGAAGCAAAAAGACTCCAAGGGGTACAAATACACAAAGTAATTTGAAAGTTTGACAATAAGAATTAAAAAAAATGAAATTACATATTCGCTGTTTGAGAGTGTTTGATTCGGGCTCCTTTTCTCTATGTCTTCTCTTTTTTTTATACGTCCTTGAGTATTTCTTCATGACAAACTGCTTGTTTGCTCTATAACTACCCACTTTCTTCATGATGACTGATTTGTCGTGGAACTGCCGTCTCTAACCGTTGCCATTACTTTCGTCGTTCAACCGCCTACAAGTGTGAT